TTTGGTCACTTCAAGAGTCGACTACTGCTGCATCACCGCTTACATCGCCAGTTCGAATGCCTACCATGAGAAGGGAGCATAAATGTCGCGTACATTAAGGAAGCCAACTTTCTAATGACTTTGACCCTCTATGCACACAAAATGTTCACCGATGAGCCTATTCAAAAGAAGCTCTGCCGACTCTTCCAGCTTTGCTGACAGGCTGGATGCGCGTTCAGTGTTTATAGCTAGCGAGATCTGCAAGTGGGGCAAACCCATTGGTACCTCCAAAGGATCGGCCAACCGAATCGGAACCGACTGGATATGGAACATTTCCACGGGTCATCTATGACATATCGTCCCCACATCGGATTCAAATAAATCAACACCTCCGAACCTTAACCATATGCCTGACCAATGAAGATGCCATACACGCACACGTTTTTACTTTTAACCGCAAATGAATGAGCTATCTCAAAACAGGCGACTAATCCACGAGTATTGTTTGGAAATTTAAAACAAAATCCACCAACTAGACGAGTCAGAATGATCAATGTTTTACCAAGTAGAATAAATAAGAACTGTTGGATTGATGATTGAAGCAGTAATTAATGCACAAGCAAATAATAAGTAGACGAAGCAAATACAGAGAGAGCACAAATGGAAACACGGTTGGATGGACACAGAATGAGTGGATACGAATGGATGGTTGCAGGATAGCTGAGTAGTTTGTATGATGAATAGAGAGGGAGGAGGGCGAAAAAGGGGAAAAACTAGAGAGACAATAGATGGTAGACTGTACTTGCGACAGTCACCTTGGCTTCCCACTCCACGACGCAGCCCCGATGGCATCAGTGGAATCAGCACGCTTGCAGTAGACTGCCTTTAGCTCGCCTGACACCTGTACGTACGTGACCTACAGTGCTGCCTGAACAGGTGCCAGTTGCTCGTAACGTGCCACCCAGTCCGCCACTGCTGTTTCATGAGCCCAAGGCGACACGCCCAGTGTCGGTAAGGACGTCTGCATCTCTGCTGCAGCTGTTGTTGATGTTGAATGCTGTGAGGTATAAAAGACACCGACAAGTCTCATGCATCTCATCTTCCAGCAGCTCTACGCCTGTTTTGGTCCTACATCCATATTTGTTTGCCTTCAAACATCTCCACGAATTAAGAGGTCTAACATAAGTGAATACGCCAACAAATCGACGGATGAATTGGTGGATGGATG